TCAAATAAACATCTCGATTTTAGTATGTTTTTCTTATTAATTACTATATAAATATATATATTAAGTTTTTATAAAATTTACTTCTATTATATAAAAATAATTTAATAATAAAAAGAAATTAATTCTTTATCAAAAGAATCTTTCCCTATTTGGAAGAATTAATTAGTTTTAATTAACTAATTAATTCCTCCAAATAGGGGAAAATGCTTTTGATAAAAATAAAAACTAAAAGTGAATTAAAATTTAATTTACATTGTCTATAATTCTTTAAATTAGTATTAAGTACTATTGTTATAATACTTAATAAACGGATATCTAAAAATATTAACAAACCACTTAAAATGTTTTCTGCCAGCCGATCTTAGTTAACAAAACAACTATCCTATTATCAATATTTAAACCAGGCTACTTCCTTATTGGTTTAGATTTTACAAAAACTGCTCTTTGTTCGGCAAAATAATACAATTATTAATATTTCAAAGATATTTGTTTACAAGAATCTCTTAAATATAATGAGTAGGAGTCTTACTCATACAGCTAACAACTAAACATAATAAAATTTATGACTTTCAGTTCTTTCACTTTAATAATGACCATGAACCAACTTTGTTTAAACTATTATATTTTAATATTTAATTCTTAAATATAAATAAGGGCTTAAGAAACATATATATTGCTATAATAACCAGAAATATTTGATTTATTACGATACTAAGTGTTGCTAAGTGTTTAATATTTAAATCTTCATATTAGAATCATATTATTTAAAACATTTATTTATTTAAAGATTTACAGTAACATGTATATACTATATATTTAACTTCAGCATTTTTCCAACCATTCGAATAATTTAACTAATTACTAAAGCACGGAAGTGAATGTTCAAATGTGGAAGTTGAAAGTCATTTAACCAGAACACGTGTTTAGCAAAATTCTTCAAATTAGTATATATATAAACGTTTAACTTACGTAAAATAATTCGTTTGAATATTCATCATTTTCAATTATTCTAGTTAAATAATTAATTTTGTTGAGTAGAAACTGTTTTAAATTTGAAAGCGCAATTATATTCGTGTCATCCATCTTGATCAAGTTTAACGTCATCAGGATGTGGATTTCCTAATCACGTGTTTCTCAAATGAGTAACATTTCTTAAATAATTAGCATTAATGTATCATTGTTAAACATGAAAATGAATATTTATAATTTCTAACTTTTCTGAATGTAAACTTTATTATAATTTATTTTATTTTTATAAATTTATAAAAGGATAATCGTTAAACAAATTGTATTTTTCGCTTCAATAAATTTCTAAAATTTAATTAAATTTTATATTTTCAATGTAAATCATTTTTGAATTATTAAAAATATTCTGCCTAATTTGCATATTCTTCTATTGGAATAAATCTGTTTCATGACCTATTTAACAAGAAAATCGAAACTTTAAAATGAATTTTCTGTAAAATTCCTTTGAATTATTATTATAAATAAATAAATATACAATATTCTTTTATTGTATTTAATTTAATGTTAAAAATTTAATTTATATATTTCGAAATTGAATTTTATTTTTATTTAAATAATTTTATTGTAATAATATAATAATATATTGTTATGAATATTGCATAAAATATTATACTGCAAACAGTATAATAATAGCATTGTTAAAAGTGTATTATTACTCACTTTATATTTTATAAAACTATGAAAAGAATGAGATTATTTATCTAGAGAAGTAGGTTTCTCGTTCTGTATTAAAAAGAATAATTTCTTTATTTATATACTGTACATAATTTGTAATTATATATAAAGAAATTGTTCAAGATTTTTTAAAACTTAGATAACGATCTTTCTTCTCTTATATACCGCACTTATTTAGTTGTTTAAAAATTCAGAAATGGTTACAGGAAATATAGTTTATCCTTAAAAAATAAATTTAAAATGACCCTTGTTAAAATATATGATTATCTAAGACCTAAACTTAGAGCTAATCCATACATTATCATATAGCTTTATTACTTTTCCGGTTGTTATATATAACAGAGGGGAAACATGGCAATCGGTTTAAAAATGCCCCCCGCCAAGATTTTTACATTTTTGGACTCAGGGGATTTTGAAACTTCGACAAATTAAAAAAAGTTGGGGTTTTTTTCTATACGTGTGGATGTTAATGTGTGTGTATGGGTGGGGGAAAGGTACACCCAATTTAAAGCTTAATAACTCCTGTGCCTTTAGTCGAAAATTTTGAAATTTTACAGGGAGGATTGCGTATTTAAGGGATTGATGCTATTAAATTTTGGTGGTTAAAGGTGAAGGGAGTGGGAAGATAAAGGGGTCACTTGCCATATCTCGAGTGGGATCGGACTTAATGATTTAACTCATTAGCATTTACAATAAAAAAAAANATCATTTTTGAATTATTAAAAATATTCTGCCTAATTTGCATATTCTTCTATTGGAATAAATCTGTTTCATGACCTATTTAACAAGAAAATCGAAACTTTAAAATGAATTTTCTGTAAAATTCCTTTGAATTATTATTATAAATAAATAAATATACAATATTCTTTTATTGTATTTAATTTAATGTTAAAAATTTAATTTATATATTTCGAAATTGAATTTTATTTTTATTTAAATAATTTTATTGTAATAATATAATAATATATTGTTATGAATATTGCATAAAATATTATACTGCAAACAGTATAATAATAGCATTGTTAAAAGTGTATTATTACTCACTTTATATTTTATAAAACTATGAAAAGAATGAGATTATTTATCTAGAGAAGTAGGTTTCTCGTTCTGTATTAAAAAGAATAATTTCTTTATTTATATACTGTACATAATTTGTAATTATATATAAAGAAATTGTTCAAGATTTTTTAAAACTTAGATAACGATCTTTCTTCTCTTATATACCGCACTTATTTAGTTGTTTAAAAATTCAGAAATGGTTACAGGAAATATAGTTTATCCTTAAAAAATAAATTTAAAATGACCCTTGTTAAAATATATGATTATCTAAGACCTAAACTTAGAGCTAATCCATACATTATCATATAGCTTTATTACTTTTCCGGTTGTTATATATAACAGAGGGGAAACATGGCAATCGGTTTAAAAATGCCCCCCGCCAAGATTTTTACATTTTTGGACTCAGGGGATTTTGAAACTTCGACAAATTAAAAAAAGTTGGGGTTTTTTTCTATACGTGTGGATGTTAATGTGTGTGTATGGGTGGGGGAAAGGTACACCCAATTTAAAGCTTAATAACTCCTGTGCCTTTAGTCGAAAATTTTGAAATTTTACAGGGAGGATTGCGTATTTAAGGGATTGATGCTATTAAATTTTGGTGGTTAAAGGTGAAGGGAGTGGGAAGATAAAGGGGTCACTTGCCATATCTCGAGTGGGATCGGACTTAATGATTTAACTCATTAGCATTTACAATTAAAAAAAATACCGTAGATAAAACTCATCCTCACCCTCAAAATTAAGCTCTTTGCAATTTTGTATCAATTAATAATATAAAAAATGTTTAAATAAAATATCATAACAGATGGCCCTACATATAACTTTAAAGTTTAGCTGGGAAAGTTATGCAACTCGTTGTTGGATTTTTTAGTAACGTTATACGATATTGAATGAATCACTTTTCCTTTATTTGAAATCGTTAATCATTAATTCATAAAGTGGTAAATCCCTCAATTTAGTTATAAGTTGAATTATATATATACTCATGACAAAAATTTGTGCATCAAAAACGAGGCGTTAGAATCGAATAAAGTTTTATTAGTAGGAACTTAATGACAACGGTAATAAGTAATTGCGATATCACAGCAAAGGGACATTTTTTGTGGAACAACGGTACACCTTTATGTATGTGGAACAATGTAAAAATACCTTAGTATCTTTCTCTTTCCTAGTTACAGTACGTGTCAATACAGTCGGACATAGAAGCATATAGATCTTGCGACAGATTTGCAACACATCTGTGGGCAAATGAGTACGAAGGATGTCACTCCACATCCCTCGTACTCACAGATGCCAAAGCTGGCATCTCTTCTGGTCACATAAATGCTCGATAGTCGATATATTTGGAGACCGGACAGGCTACGGAAGTACGGAAGTGTGCTATGTGATGGAGACACTTCTGGCAAACCCCAGGTGTGTGCGACAGAGCATTATCTTGCTGGAAAATTAGCTACTTGAAGTCTTGTCATGAAAGGCATATGAGGGTGCAGAATTTTTTGAATATACCGTTGTGCCGTCAATGTATCTCTTACCACTAAGGATTACCGATTTCGTATGAAATGGCTCTCCAGACCAGCATGCAAGCAGTGGGATCAGTGTACCGCTCAGAAGTAAAAGCGAGATTAAAGCTCTCATCAGTAGTCTTCTACACTCTAACACGGTGGTCGTCCATTCCCAATCATTCGTCGCTAAAGACGATACTATGCTAGTCCATAACAGTCCATGCTTTTCTGTTTCAGCACCACTGCAAACGGATGGCTGGATGGCCGAGGTGTTAAGATAGCCTACTGCACTAGAGATAACCTACCTTTGAATGAAAATCCCAGAAATTTTCGGAGGGATGGAGCTTGACATCCTGGATATGTCAAGTCCCGTCTTTCACCACCCGGTCGATACCTTTTTTGGGTATGGCCGAACCCATAACGGGCTTGTTAAAAAGACTCTCTTAGTGCCCACAGGGTGGAAGAGTTAAAAGAAATTTTTTAATATCTGAATGAAACCAGCTATGGAATTTCTGATAGTTGGATTTGTCAGAAATTCAGACTGGAACACAAAGGTGGCAAAATTGCATCTTTATCCTACCAACCATCCGGCATAACATATTTTCATTTATTTATTCTTTGCTAATATATGATAGCATTTTGTCATCTCATAAAAGAATGTGAACTTTTATAAATACATAAATTTAGTATATATATGTACTATGTTTATATTCCTAAATACATCCTCTATTTGTGGCTATAGTTTATACAACCACTGAACATTGGTAGTTGGTCGCGGTTTCATGCATGATCAACGGGTTGGTCACTGGAATTTTTCGGGTTTTCTTTACGTGTAACACCTAAATAGGGGTCAATTTCTGATAGATGTTTTTCCGGAAGGCATCCTCCTTTGGCTGATCGTCCATCATGTAACGTTGTCTTATTCCATTAATCAATCTAAATATATATCAAAATTATAATTGCAGATATTCAATTTATTAGTTAGAATGTAAATCGTTGATTAAAAAAATTAAAATTCTAGCCAACGACTAGTCAAATGGCTAAGATAGTAAAAGCTCCTATCTGCTATTCTGATGATCAAGTCACGAATTCGGATCGGTTCAAAGAATTTATGGATAGGTTGTACAGAATATGTCGAACTTCTTCAGTCACAACCGGCCATTACCACTAAAGGTCTACCTAAGTCCTCTTAATGCACACAGGACAGAAACAGTTAAAACTAATACCGTTTGACGATTATTAAATTAAATTAAATCACAAATTTGGTGTATGTATTAATATTTTGAATAAATGAAAGAATGTGCAAATGAAAATATTTTTAATTGTAATTTTCATTGTTTCTCATAACATTCAAGATGCCATTGACGTTCACCAGAAAGTACAAACTTTTCAGTAATTGGACTTTTACAAGCATGACATTTGGGTGCAAATAAATTTAAATAATCTTTTCGACAATACGGTTTTCCCTTTTTCTCAAGAAATTCAGACTTATCAGCTAAAATTTCTTTACATTTCTGGCATCGAAAACAAACAGGATGCCAAATTTGATTAAGAGCTGTTACATATATTTCTTCAATAGCTTTGTGACACTCAAAACATTTTTTTGAAAATGTATTCAAATAATCTTTACGGCAATATGATTTACCATCTTTTTCATGAAATCCGGTATTTTCACCAAACTGTTGTCCACATTCTTCGCATTGGAAGTGTTCTGGATGCCATAATTTATCCAAAGCTGTAACACATTTCTCAAGAATTGGATTTTCACATCTGGCACATTTAGGCGTGTAAATATTGTGATAATCTTTTTCGCAATATATTTTACCTTCCTTTTCCATGAATTTATCTGACAGTTCCATTTTACAATGACAACAGACAAAATGCTGGGGGTGATACAATTTTCCCAAGGCTGACACCATTTTTCCTATTATTACAGATTTACAGACTGTACAATATTTTTCAGATTCAGCTGAAGAAAGCTTGTTCACATTTTGTGAATCAGAATCTTTTTCACTTTTTTCTGATACTTCTTGAGATTCAGGTTTATTTTTACTATTTGACATGTTCGATAAGTTTTCTATTGTGCTATTTCTTAGATAATTCAGTAGTATATAACGTTCTTCAAATGGGAATAATATAATTCTTTTTTTATTATTGAGATCCGTTTTAAATACAGTCGGACATAGAAGCATATAGATCTTGCGACAGATTTGCAACATCTGCGGGCAAATGAGTACGAAGGATGTCACTCCACATCCCTCGTACTCACAGATGCCAAAGCTGGCATCTCTTCTGGTCACATAAATGCTCGATAGTCGATATATTTGGAGACCGGACAGGCTACGGAAGTACGGAAGTGTGCTATGTGATGGAGACACTTCTGGCAAACCCCAGGTGTGTGCGACAGAGCATTATCTTGCTAGAAAATTAGCTNCTACTTAATCCACTTTATATTGTTTCTTATGGGAAACTTTGTTTCGGTTTTCGAACAACTTTTAAGAACGAATTAAATTCGAAAGATTTGACTGTACTTTGTTATGTAACTGTAATACTCTGTAATGAGATTAATGCAAAGTTACAGTAAAAATTAATTAAATTAAATGGACTTTTAGACGAAAGTTGAAATCAAATCTAAGCTAAACGAAATAATAAAACTAAATATTGATAGATAATTCTTTGATTTTTAATTAACAAACTATACAGAAATCCATTTTTACTGCATGAAAAAGTTTTCGTTTATGTAATTCTTAGTTGAATTATTATTATTATTATTTTTTAAAGACAAAAGAGAACATACTGTTTGTACATTTTTAATGGCCCAAAACATTTTATCTGTTGCAATGCCGAGTTATTTTCTGGATGGACATGTTTATTCATTAGGATTCATCCTTGAATATTGTTTATTTATTAAAGTGTTTCTTCCTATTTATAATTTTTGGTTTTTTTCTGAAACGTAACAAAGTACAGTGAATATTTATAGTAATATTTTTAAAGCTATGAGCATTTACTATATTTTTTATTAGAATAATAATTTATATTTAAATAAAATTAAATTTAAAACAATGAACCATCTTTTTATCCCTCGAAAATTTGAGAGAGGAGTTTTATTTCTTTGTACTTAATTTTCACTGACAGGAATTATCTAGAGGAAGAAGAATGAAATTGCTCGACCTTTTTTTTTATATAAAAAATAAATCGTTAATTTCATGGTTATCGTACGATTTAATTTTCTCTGTAAATGTTCACATGTGTTTTTTATGCTTAATTATTTAACTTATAACGTTCAATGTAAATAAAAAAAAATACATTTTAAAGTACAAAGTTAGTTTTACCTGTAAATCGAGGAAAGAAACTATAATCTATCAAATGTATTATTAATATGTGTAACACGTTTCAGGTAGTTGTATCACAAACGTGTATTTAATAATAAGAACTAGCATGTGGAAATCATAAAAATTATTACCTTTAGCAAACATAACTATAAATAATTTAATTTAAATCACGCGAAAAACTTGGTTAAAATAAAAATATTATAATATATTATCCCGGAGAAAATATCCTTGAAATAATTTAAAGAAATTCGATAAATATATTCGTGCACTTATTCTAACACTAATCTCCTATAGCAATACGAGATATTTTGAAAAGTTCTTGGAAAAAATCAGATAAAATTTATTCATTTCATTTACAAATTTTAAAAATTATTGAAATAAATATTTTAATGTATTATAATTTCTTGAATTATGTACTGTACAGTATGTTAATAAATTCTGAAAATATAAAAGTGAATAAAATGAATACAGGGGGTGCAAAAGTAGGTATACAGTTGAGAATCTGAGAAATACAAATGTTTAGTATTCATTATTATTACTTTTATTATCTTTTATTAGTTCGTATTCTTTATTTGTGATTTAATCTGTACATAAAAATAAATGGTTTTTCTTCCTATTTTCTCCCTGTATGTTTTTTTCCATAGTAACAACTGTATACCCACTTTTGCACCCCCTTGTATAATAATAAGTTACTAGATGGTATTCAGTGATATACATACATACATACATACATACATACATACATACATACACTTATGTTAAAATAGGATATTATTTTATAAATAAAACTGTTTTTATTTAAAAATAAAATTTAGGTTATGCCATTTTTCATTAAAATTTTAATAACAGAAATTCTCTAGGTCATTACTGTCCCGTTTAATCCATGTACACAATAACTAACTATTTGGTAGCTAGATTAACTTGTAAGATTCATTGTTTTGTTATATAAAAACCTTTGTTCCCTCTTAATCTTCCTCACTTTAAAATTAGACCTACTTTAGGTGCATTATATTTAATTCATGATACATATAAGGAAGATATTTAATGAGATTTTTAAGGATGAATTATGTTTAAGATATATAATAAAACATAAACTCATTAAGATTCTGAAATCTAATAATATGTTATAGATGTAATTTGTATATAATCGCATAAATAATGAAGTTATATGCAATTATTAAATTACACTGATTAAATATTAGATCTCAGTAAAATTTCCAACGTTGCATTAATTCTTGTCTATTATGTAAGTTTCTGTTTCGTTATAAATGTTTATTATAATCATCTTCGTCGAAAGCCAAATGACGGAATATATATTTTAAGATCAAAAAGGTTTGCAGTTATCCTGTATAACTTGTTTCTTTGTTTAAAATGTTTTAAATTTCAAAATAAGTCACTTCTTTCAGTCTTATTTGAATAGATTTTAATATCGCAGAGTAACTGATAATATTTGAAAGATTATTATTATTATTTTAATCCAGTACACACTTTTAAGTTAATAAAAATTAATTTATAATTATTTTAAAATTTTTATGTATTTTAAATTACACAATAAGCATATACTGTACGTGACTAAGTGTAGAAAAACTCTTAGGCTAAATATTTTGTATTTGCTTTCATATTAAAAAACAAAAAAAATTACATTGAAGTAATTTTCTACTAAAAGGATGGAGAGAAATATCCATATTATTTATATTGATTGGTAAACATTGAACGTTTGGTGATTCTATTCTTGCTACTTTTAATCAGAAAAAGTTCTTGAATTCCTTTATTGCAAACAAGACATATAAGAACTAATTTGCATATATTCACTTTCTATTTTAAAATTTATTAATAATATATTATTAAATTCTGAGATAAAATTTTATAGTTATTTAAATTTGAATTTGATAGTTAAATATTTTAAGTATTGTTGTTTTTTCGATTAATTAATTCGTTTTAAAATTTTGTTAAATTTATATCTATTTTTGTGTCATTTTAAATATATAAAGCCCTTTAATTTATCTATCCTAAATAATTAATTAAAGAAAAATCTTAGTGTATATGTTACAGAGTTTAAAATATAAACACTAGAATTGTTAAAAAAAAAAACAAATTTGTTGATCCCTTTCATCATTTTCTTATTTGTTAAACTATAAGCTTATAAAGGAAAAATGACACTAATTTAAAATTTGTATCAGTTCGATGATAACGTGTTTTTTTTAATTGATTTTTAGTGATACAAGAAGCACATTATAGTAATGTATTGTGTAAAAACAATTAGAAAAGCAGGAAATTAACTACTTTTAGTAGATAATTTCCTGATAGTACTTCTGTAGCAGAAATAGAAATCTTGAAAACAGTATTACAGTACCCTCTGGTAACGGGTATGTGAACAAAAAAAGTAACAAAAAAATCGTAGAGATTTTTTTGTTACTTTTATATATATATATACTGTATACAATATTCAAGTTTTATTTTCACCTAATTGAAATATGTTTGTAATTTTGAAAAATTGTTTTCAAGATTTTAAAATTTCATAAAAATCGTGCAAAAACATCTCATGCCTTTACGCATTCGGTTTCTTGTTAAAATTATTACTTCATTGAAAATATTTCGTGATTATACCATCGAATATTATTAATTATTAAATTATTAATTTTAACTGTTGATTACTAATAAATAAACAAACTTTTGTAAGAAAGCTTTTTCGTTGGTTGAAAGACACTTTATACTCCATTTTAAATTGAACCGCTCCGGAAACAAAATAGTAACTAGAGGTACAGTACCATACAGTACATTAAACGACTACATTAGAAATACATTGATTAAGCATTGAGTAAATCGCTCGCTCGATTTTTGAAGTATAAATAAGCCCTAAAATTGTATTGAGAACATATCATTTTATATTCCCAAGTGGTTCAATTATGACTTACCATGATTATAGATTCAAAGTGCCAGTTTCTGGTGCCTATAAATTAAACCATTTCAGTTTATAAATTTCTATATGCAAAATTTTCAAGCAATCAACCCACCGAATGAAATTTTAATTTATATAGTAAATAAATAAGTTATGGTTTAAACACTAAGCATTTTTTCAGCTTTTGTTTAACCGAAGTAGTCATGACTGCCAAATGGCCGAGGCGGTTTACAAATCAGCTTATATCTCTCGGAGATCCGAGATCGAACTCGAGCGAACAATCCCAGGAATGGTTGTGTTCCGGATATGTCAGACCTTGTCCTTAACCACCTAGCCGCTCCTATTGTGAACACAGCCGAACCCATAAAGATATGAATAAAAAGGCCTTAATTACCGAGGGAAAGAATCAAAAATAAAATAAAATATTATTTCTAAAAATTAATTGAGAAATACCGTAATTAAAAACTGTTGTTCCCATGCACATTTTATTTATTACATTTTTGTGTATTCTTTTAACACCGAACGTACACTTAAGAATTTTCCAGGATCCGATCGGATTTGAATGATACTCCCTTAAAATGCAGGCATATTTCTTAATCTGCTCTGTTATCCGTTTATTCAACTAAATGCATCAATCTATCTAAATTTTTAGACAAAATTTTTTGGAATAATCGAAAACGAAGAAAAATAGTATACAGGTGACTTTGTTTTACGATTGGTTCACCAATAAAACACGATCAAATAACTTTACCGTGAACTTTTTCTTAATTGATTTAATAAGATTTGCCTGATCAATGGACTTCCCCCGTGAATTTTTTTTTTGGGCTTTCTCACCTCTTCAACACCTAAACGGGCCAATTTCTTACAGAAATTGAAAATCAAGCGGTAGAAAATTGTATAGAGATCAAGATTTTATACATTGTTTATTTTAGTTAATTTTACTAAGGAATTAAAAATTACTCCTTTCAAATTTTGGGTGCAAATTTGCACTTAAATCGCGATACTGAACAAAATGTGGATATATAGTAATTCTGTAATAAAATTATAGTAAGCCAAATAAAGATAAAAAATATATTTTATTCGTTTTAAAATGGATTTATATTAACAAGATAACAGTCTAAATTAATCGGACTTTGAAGTAACTCAACTCCAACGAAATTTTGTTGGCTGGATGGCCGAGCGATCAAGGTAGCAGCCTATCGCTCTGGGGAACCCAAATGGGACTAAAAATTTCCAGGAAGTTTTCAGCTGGTGGGTCCGAGCGGAAATGTCGACCCCGTCTCTCACGTCTCGGCAGCCCTATTGTATGCCTGGCCGAACCCATAATGGGTTGCTAAAAAGATGCCTTCTTACTTGTTAGTGCCCACAGGGCAAAAAAGCTAAAAAAAACTCTAACAAAACGAAAGATGAGGACTCAATTTCTACGACTAGAAACAATGATTATAATCAAAACTTTCGAATAATAAAAAAACCGGATTCCTTAAAAGGCTGGGCAGGAATTCGAACCTCGAATTTTCGGTTTACGAAACCGACGCGGTATCACGAAATTCACTTTTTCGGTACAGAAATTGTGTATAATATTTTATTGGATGGACCAAGGTGTATTTCGTCTATCTTAGACTTTAGGGCTAGGAGTATCCTACACGGCGGCATGGAGTTTCGAGAGCCACCCTTCCTCATAACGATCCTATGATATCCATTTGTTTCGTACCCTGTGATGAACAGAATAACCTTAGATAATCTATAATCTTTTAAGACGCTTTCTAATTCCTAATGGTTAACTGTGGACAAGAACCAAAGTCCACAATCTTTTTACTTCTCAGTCCTGATTCCACTCTCTGTATTGCTGTTGGTGCCACCATGATCTCACCTAAAGCGTTATTCCCCTCAATACTACTCCGATTGCACCTACTTCTCGTATATATCGCTTTAAACTGTGAAAACTATAAAAGTACAGTATTTGATTTTCCTAATCTAACAACTCGAGTTTTTCATTTCTGAATAGGAGGCCCACCAGTGGCAAAGCGGTTCCATTCCCTAAACACTGGGAGTTCGGTCGTGGTTTCGCGCCTGGCCAGGTGGATTTTCCGAGTTTTCTCCACGTCTGTAATGCCTGAATAGGGGCCACTTATCCTTAAAAAGACCTCCCGGAAGGCATCCCCTTAGGCAGATCGCCCAAATGTCGCTTTGCCGCAACTTAACTAAACAAATATTTCTGAATAGTAATTATATATTCATAAACGAACTCAATTATATATAAGTTTTATAGTTGAATCTGAAAAATTATCTAATTTTTTAAATAAATCAGAATCACAAGTAATTTTTTACAACTTAAGCATATATTTTTTTTTCCTTTATGGCGCAATTTGGCTATATTTGGAAGATTTTTGTGCGAAATTTGGCAGACAATTTACTCTGATAAATTTGAAAAGGATTAAATTGGACGCTCGTGAATAAAATGAGTAAAGATATAGATGATGTTTTTGATGAATTTGGAGACATGAAAATAGTTGATGAAGTATCTTGGAGGAAAATAACAGACGCATGCATGAAGGTATCGCTGCTATAATCGTACTTTCGGAATTCGTATGGAGAACTACGACTTTGTGATTTTAATATCGCCTGCTGAGAACATCAGTGATATAATTGCTTTCGTAATTTCTGTCGAAACTTCAATTTTTCATTCCTACTCAACCATTCGTACAAATACAGCTATGAATGAGGCGGTTACGACCTTATCAGAGCTGTAGACGATGATCTTATAAGTAAAAATAAAGTCAAAGGTCACGTGTTCGATGGTCTACATGTGACCTTTGATACGTGAGAGTCTAAAATTTGGGGTCGAAACCCCTCATTCAGAACTGCAATTTTACCTGAGTTATCCAATTATTGAAAAATTTTTTTTTTCTTTCGAGGTATTTTAGCAGGATAGTTTTTCTTGTGTTTCAAATTAGTATGTAATTTTTTTACGTTTAGTTATGTCACTAAAGCAGAAAAATTTGAATGTGTTTTGAAGATTTTATGTCGGAATAATTACATTTTACTGTAAATGATTTAGAATCTTGTGATGCCAGGTATGTCGCTAATGTTTTCGGCAGGTGATGTTGTAACTATTGTAATAGTAATAATCTTTTGTCAAGTGAGAATTAAATTAATAAGAAATTTATATATAATTTTCAATTATCCAAGACTGTTATCTTACTGCTTGATTGAAAGGTCAAAGATCAATGATAGATTTCTTCATTAATTCATTTATTATAATTTTACTGATATTTGTTTCAGTATCAAAATTTTTCAGCCAATGATTATATCTTCAGAGATTGATCAGAGAATGCTAAAACATCTTAAAAAATTAAAACTAAAGGTTAAGACAAATTAGATAACTGGTGTTTTTTTTTAACTATAACTGCATTTTCTTAACCTTTAAAGTTTAATTTTCTAAAAAGTTTTTTAAAAAAAATATGTTTTAAAAAAAGTAAAAAAACTGCTCCATAAATGTATATTTTTTACTTATGCAAACAATGTTAATTTTAAATAATGTAACTATCAAACTTCATGTGAACAACAAATTTAATAATTAAAGATACTGAAGCAGAAAAGACTTTAATCAAACCTATCTGAAAATTTACAAAATTGTTTTATTTAAATTGAAATCTTCACAATAGCTCGAACACTGTAAGCCTGGAATATATTAATTAACATAAAAACAATACACATTTGAACCTGAAAAGAAATTCCAGGATATTTTTATGCAAACACGAACATTTTCGATCTGCACAGATCATCTTCAGGTTAAAAAGCTTTCAAATGGAATGTGGTAATGGAACATTCTTAAGATCATTCAAAAAAACGTATAAATAAAAATATTTTAAATTTTAATAAAATAATTTTTAAATAGGCTGTTCTTGTTGGTATAAAGATTGCCAGGCATAAGATAATTGTTTTTTTTACTTGAAATTAATGCAATGGCCCCTCTTTTCCGATTTGAATATCTCAAGAATGTCATTGACTGTGGCATACATGGCTAGGGTGATATGCCACCCTATGCCAGACAATGACGTTCAAGCCTATCTAGACAAGGCTTCCATTTTACAACAATCTAAGCATAACAACCAAATCAGGACACTGGAAGCTCTCGAGATATTCAAATCAGAAAACCATTACATTAATTTCAAGGAAAAAACATTAAAATTAATTCATCGTACTACCAGACTAAAGTTATGGAATTTCTATACCATGAAGAAATCCCTACTTTGTACCAAAATGACCAAACAAATGTATAGGTGCATCAAGACAAAGCTACCAGTCATATCTCCAAATCAACCTGATATTTCACCCATGTATTGGAACAGGAAATGGGAATCCATATCATCCCTTTCGATGACATTCCCATGAAGTCACCCGACGCAACTCCAGTGGACTACTGTGCATTTGGTCTATTGAAACGAGCTCTGGGTCTATTTGGCATTTGATCTATTGAAACGAGCTGTCATCCAAAAACAATGGCAGGGTTATGGAAAGCCTGTAAGGAGGATTGGGACCATTTGGACATGAATGTTCTTTAAAGAAATCTTCTACAGTGGCAACTTTGATGTAGGGCTATAGTTTCATGACATGGCCATCAGATCGAGCATAATCAAAACTGGCGCCATAGCATTTAGGTTACTTTATAGGCTCTTAATTTGACATTATGTAATGCAATCAACCCTCTGTAATTAAGAAGTAATTAAAAAATTTCGATTCATCTTCTCATTTCTGAACTTTGATGAATTTTATCCATGTCAGATTGAGAATTTTTCTAGTACAGTAATACCCTGAACTTACGCAATAGGTGGGACCGAGTGATAACTGTGTAAGTCGGATTTGCGTAAGTCGGGGTATAATTTTGCAATTTGTGTAAAATCAAAGTCAGATGTATGTAAGCTAATAAATGTTCTCGTTAATCTTATCTCATCTTTTGATTTGTTCATGGTTACAAGAAATCACCATATAGAGTCTCTATATAATAATAAACACAGATATAACAAACACAGAAATAAATAACACAAAATAAATTGTAGCTATGTGTCGATTCTGCACGACATGTCCAAACATGCAAGCTGAACAATAGTGCGGGGGGTGAGTAATCAAGAGTTGCATGGTGCTCAAACAGAAGACGAATTGACGAGATTTGAAAATTGCATAACTCCAGGTTCGTGTAAGTTGGGGTAGCATAAGTCCATACTACACTTTCCAAATTCACCATTAGGCAGATATGATGACTACACACTAGTGATGTGCCGGATCGTTAAAAATGTATATCCGCGGATACGGATCTCTACTTTCGTACTCAGTTGGCGCCGGTACGTGTGACCTCGGACCGATAGTTGACGCTTTGCGTTAATAACGTGACCTGTTTTGACTTGAACTGCGCGTGTTTTTATTTATAGTGTGAAAGTGTGCTAAATTAGAATTAACCACAAAGGCAGACAGGATAAAGTAACAAAAGTTGATATAATTTTCCAATTAAACTATTTCACGTCTTTATACAAATTCTATTTCGGGGGATTCCAACTTCACAGTACAAACAGTAGCATGCGAAATTACAGCGATAATAATAGTTTGCTGTACCCAAAGCACGTGTACAATACAGATCCCGATCGCGACAATATAACCCGGAACCTTAAAACTAACATAATAAGACACCAACCGAATGCCATAAATTAATCGGGCTATTTTTAATGCTAAATTCTAAATAAATTACATAATTAATTTGGCACTAGAGGTAAGCGTTAGGCGCCATCTCTTATTAAAATTAATAATTATAAATATATTAATTAATTTAAATAATTTGGAACCGCTGGGAGAAAAAATCGGCCCGGAGCGGGACTCGAACCCACAACTCCTGCTTACCGTGCAGATGCGTTGCCAGTTACGCTATCCGGACCTCCGATCCGATCTCCTCTTCCAGCGTATAACTATGTAACCATCGACGGTTATTACAATGCCGGCTGGGGACACATTCAGTGCCCACGTCCTACTCCTATAAGGCACTCAACCGGCCATCGCAAGCCCCGGCAAGGCGTAATATATATAAACATCGCTAAACCCGATGTAATATAGCTAATCACCAAACATATGCCGTAAATCCATCGGGCTAGTTTTAAGGCTAATTACTAAATAAATTACGTAATTAATTTGGCACTAGAGGTAAGCGTTAGGCGCCATCTCTTATTAATATTAAT